TTATAGTTATAATTTTTTCATTTATTTATTTAAAAATAAATTAGAGGATTTTTTTTACTTTTAGAGTATAAAAATAGAAAAATATTTTATAAAATATTAAAATCAAAATGTATTCATGATATAACCATTAAAAATAAATATTTACAATTTTAACGCGATGAAACACAAGAAAAAAAATATAGAAATCAAAATCAAAATTAAAACTTATATATTTTTACAGATTAAAAATATATTTAGTTCTAATGAATATAATTATTTTTAAGAGGTTGTAGAAAAATAAAATAAAATAATGAAACTAAACATTGGATTATTTCATGATGAAGAAGATAAAATAGAGTATTATTCAATCAATGTCTTATAGCAACATAAGTATGATGGAATTAGGAAAACAAATATAAAAAATTATTATATTTTAATTTTAAGCAAATTTTCTTCTGTTACAGTAAAAGATGCTTTGTATTGAACTTAGGATCTTAAATGAAAATAGTGGTTTAATCGGAATATTCTTTTATTATTATTATTATTATTATTATTATTATTATTATTATTATTATTATTATTATTATTATTATTATTATTATTATAGGATTAATTCATAAATTAAAAAAAAATACCATTCTTCATAATAGATTGCAGGTATTATGGTTGAAAAGTAGTAAAACGAAGGAGTATAAGATTTTCATACTTTTTTTTTAAGTTTAAGTAATACTTTTTGGTCCATATATTTTGTAAAATTCAAATATTTAGTTCTAATTATTTTTTAACGCAATTCTAGTTCCTATATATTTTTTATAAATTTAAATTTTTTTAACCCAAATTTAATGTATTGATTTTTTTTAATTGTATGTAACATTATTCAATTTTTAGTTTTAAGAACGTTCACATTTACATTTAATATTAACTAATTAAATATGTTTAGTATGATAATTTGAAAACTACATTAATAGATATTTTAATTCATTAAAATGTAAAAAATAATATTCAAAAGTTATATATTTCTTAGGCATGTTATTTCTCTTGAATCACTTTCCTGGGATTTTTTTCCTTCAATTCAATTTTTTTGGTGCGACTATTCTTAAAAATTAAAAAAAAAAACTATTTATTCCAAGTTCATATGTTAAACATATCCCGTAACTCATAATTTACTAAAAAGGTAAGAAAAAGTTATTTTGTGATCTTATAATTTTTTTTTTTACATGTCATGAATCAATTTTATGTGAATAGACTCTAATTTACCAAAACACTTAAAATGTCTTAATAATTTAATTAATATAATTAAAACTTCAAAGATTAAAGTAGCTCATTTATGATCACTGTCCTATCTTAATTATTGATCTTGGAGGCCAAATAATATAATATTAATAAATAATAAATAAATATAAAAGGAAGAAAAAAGATGAAATGATGAAAGGATAAAATTGTAGATATATACTTAAATATATTAAATGATCATTAAATTTGAGGGGGACAAAATCATAAATTATATGAGAGTTACAAATTGAGGAGAGATTAAGAGGATAGAATGATAAATATACAAATAAATATACAATGTTTATGATATACTTAATATATTAAATAGAGACCATTAAACCCTAAAGAACCACAAGTTGAATAAAATATACACAACAGTTTAAAAAGACTAAAAACTTGTTCAAATGCAAGCTAAAGAAACTCCTAATTTTTTTATTATAAAATCTCAAAAGATTTTGGTCCCACTTTAGTGTTAAACTTTTCGGCTATGAATCTATTTGAATAAATTTTATACTTGAGTTCTTTTAAAAGAATAAAGAATAAAGAAAAATGAAAAAAGAAAAAAAACTATTTTATAAGTTAAATACAAATTAAAATTAAAAATTTTATAAATAAACTAATTTTCAAAATTATGAAAAAGTTTATTTAAGAGACTTATACATATATATACTTAATCGAAACAAGAGTGGGAGAAAAGGAAATGGAAGATCTCCATGAGCACCAGGCAATGCAATATTCATAGGCTTTTTTAGGAAATAAACTTCTAAATAAAAATCCCTAAGTCATAACTGAATACTAAAAGTTGAAAATAAAGCTTCCTTTGATTTAAACAATAATTAAATATTGAATAATATCAAGAGTTTAACCACTATACACTACGTAAGAGTCTGCACGTAACTTATTTCCTCTTATACATGCAAACTAACAAATTAATTAAACTAAAACTATTTTAAGCCATCACGTTAACTTATTAAATAACAAACAGATTAATAAACATCCACTGTTTCTGATAATATATAACATGAATAAGTTGAAATACAGTTTCATGCCAGAATCAATGTGCGGATACAAACCAATTGATATATTTTAAACTACAATCAAATGGGTGAATATCAACGATTTTGTTTTGAAGTTTGTGTGTTCACTTGCTTTTAGAAATATTTTAACAAGTTGAAACTTTTATTTCTCAAACCCGACAAGTAATTTGTTGAATCTATTAATAAGTTTGCGTGTACAACTAATTTTCCTTCAAGCTCACTTGGTGAAAGCATTTTGCTATTGATTTGTGTAGTCATGTGAAAGAGATACATACTTCACTTACAATGTCAACAACTGCAAATGCTTCAGGATATGGTGGTGGTATTGACAAACGTTGGCAGTAGAAAGAAAAAATGTTCTCATACGGTCATACCTTTTTGAAAGTCAAAGAACTACTGGCATGATATTTGTCATTTATAGGATCAGCATGAGTTAGGTCTACATAATAAAATACATATACTGATATCATTGTATGCATTCAACTCATGCTTACGTTAAGGAGATCAAATAATAACAAACAGAATCCCTCAACCATGATGAAGAGTTTAATCTGCTGCATTTTTTTATGCTTATAGCTTCTGATAGTTACACTAAAATAAACAAAATGAAGCATAGAATTTGAAAATGACTCCAGTTGTATTTCTAGTCCCTGCATTCGACTACAGACAATGTGCTCTATTTTTCTTTAGGAATAAAAATCAGCATTTACAGCATTGTTTTGACTCTAGCCCTATGAAAACCGGCCTTTAATGCTGGTTGGTCCTATTCAGAGAAAGGAACAGAAGAACACAACAACCTGTGTAGAAAACAAAAAACTAACCATGAAAGGGTTGAAGTTGGGGAAAAATATATTGCAGTATTGAAATATTCTGTACATTCTTAATGCCTTTTCTATGAGAATTTCTTGAACCATTCATCTGTTCCGACAATGGCACGTGCTCTCTATCCTTAGATTGCAACATAAGTTTGGTCAGTATCATGCTTTTCAGCCTGCAATTTGTTTCATCATTTTGTTATTAGGTTTTAATACAACTCTGTTTAATTTAACATTATCCCAACATATTGTAATAATCATATACGAAACTGGAAGATTCTTACTAATGAGACCAATCATTTAAGAAAAGAAGGTTGTGGTCTATCTCACCTTTTCATTTCATCTATTGTTATTTAAAGTGATACCTAATTTCGTATTATTATCAAAATTATAAGGACACTGCACATGAAGAGTATATAATTAGCACATTCCAAATATGGAGGTATATAGATGAAGCAAAATCCTAGCTAACTAAAAAGTCGAAACAGTAGGATATAGGACACCAAAAGTAAAACGAATTGGTATTTTTAGATATGAAATATTATTTTGTTGTAACGTGAGATTAACTTTTTTGTTGAACTAGGTATGGTGACAATTTGTTTGCATTGTGGGATTGCAATAAATTGTACTGCTCCTTTGACATTCATTGTACAATCCCTGGTTGTAAAACACTTGTATCATCTTACTTAATGTAATATGATCTAATGTTCAGAATATAAACTGTAGTTTTTAAGACTCTGGTTCTTGTATCAATTAATGTTTATTCTAATAAAAAATAAGAAAGATTATGTATAAGCTATTATAAAGGGTTGATTACGTTGAATGACTAAATTAAGGTGCAAGATGGTGGAGAAAAACTAAAGAAGAAAAAGCTATGCGAAAACAGTTGTATGATGTGATTTGACAAAATACGATTACTGAATAAGGTAGTGGATAAAAATTAAGGTTGACCACACCAAAACTAAGAAAAGGAGTGTCGTATGTTACGATTTGACAATATAGGATAACTAACATAGTTCATGATATGTTTACTCAAAATTCCTTTGCGAAGAATGAAAAGTTTATCAAATTAAAACCCAAACTGTTGAAGATAAATATAAGAAAAAACTTGTATAACTGTTTTTGTGAAAAGTTTATGGACCAATTTTACTGAAACATAAGTAAATAAGATGGCTAATTTCTTGGGTTCAATGTAAATAAGTGGAACAACTTCATCAAAATTTGTTACAAGAAAATAAAATATTCCTTGAGAGAAAAAATGCATCAAAGATTAGTGTGCACCAATTAATTGACAACCCAATTGCCTATTTACAACTAGTTACTTTCAGAAATTTGTGGATCATGATCAAAAGAATAAAGGAACAGTGATTCTTCTTGGCGACCCCTGTTTGTCCTTGTCCCCCACCATCATTACTAGTGTAATGTAAGCACTGAACTTTGAATCATGGCCATTGATATGAATCCACCACCGACACAAATTTCTTTGCCAAGCTCCATTTTGCTGCGTCATTAGATGAGGAATCAGGAAACAGTAAAACCTGTGACAGTGGATCACACCTTGAAAGCCACTCTTGCCAATTAGCTACTGTTTCTTTATGAACACACAGGATAGAGTAATATAAGTAAAATGCTTCACAGAGCCTTTGCACTCGGAGGCATAATAATGAATACAATAAGTCCCCAATGCAGCATAGTAAACAAGGAGACTCGTGATTAGTTGAGAGTTTCTAGGGAAGGTGAATGGATATGTATTATAGTACATTGTGCTAATCTTGTTGAGCTAGGGAAATGCCCTGGTGAAAAATTAGAGGGCAAAACTATATTGGATTATATTATATAAGACTTCTATCATTCTTCAAATAAACAAGTGCAGTTGAAGTCATAGAGCATTATCTCATCATGACTTGCTCTTATATTTCCTTTGGGGTTTCAAATCAATCACAGTCACAGTGATGTTATCTTTGCTTCCTTTCTGAAGGGCACGGTTTGATAGGTATTCTGCTGCTGCTTGTGCAGCAGGATCAGTTCCCTCTCCCCTTTCTGATGAGGGTTGTTCAAAGCCATTTTTCTTGTACCAGAGAAGTATCCGTCGCCGAGCAAGGTCACACACCTCTTCATTCGTCATAACATCCCAGAGACCATCACTGGCGAGAATGAGACACTCATCGTCTTTTGTACGGGGAAGAAACATAACTTCTGGTTCTGGAATAATCCATGGCTTCAAATATCTGTCACCTGAAAGTCGCAGCAAGGATAAGCAAAAAAAATTTCGGCTGTCTACAGAACTGCATCATAATTGCAGGATTCCTAGTTGCATAGACATGCTAGCTGGTCCTGATTCTTTTGAAGGACAAAATATATTATTAACTTGTAGAACAAAATTTATGCTAATTTTGTGCATTAAAGTTCAAATCTAAACTAAATTGGAGTACATGGGTCCCCTCTTAGGAAATTTGGTGCAGTATAGATTTAAAAAAAAATGATATAGGGCCACTATAACCGAGCAAGTGGTGCCAAAACCACTGGCAAAAAGAGAATAATAATGTGCTAGCAAAGTTTCTAATAAGATATACTCAACTTTTATAATAACAGATATTTACATAAAACAATTAGGTAGCAACTGTAGCTAATCAGATATTGTCTATAGAAATAAAGAACAGGCGTTTCACTTGTGTCAAAGTCCCAATTTTATCTTATAAAGCTGCAGTATGTCAAGGAGAAAATGAGAAGACGCACTAGGGCTAATACTTCAAAAATTGCCTCTACCAGCCTTTTACCTGGTATAACACATAAATTTGCATGTACATTTTCTACCACCTTATTGTCTGAACATGCAAAAATAATCATAATCTCTTACCAGACACAAGCCTTTCTGTTATTTCAACTATACTAATAATATACAAGCAATGAGGTCTGGACTCTGAACATTTCAATGCAAACTATGGATTTTACTTGCCTCCTGAATCATCTTTTGGCTCAGGCTTAACAAAACCTTAAAAAAATGCAACTTTGATAACCAAATATAAAGTGAAGCTTATAGCTCCATGATTTTAGTTTAGGTTCAACAGGATGGAATGGGACATTTGTCTTGTCTGTGCTTGGATGATTAATAAGGGAATAAAGGGAAAGTTAAACTTTTGCAAGTATAACAATTCATCTATAAGAACAATTAAGTAACCCAACATAAGAGGTGAAATTGTAGATGACATTTTTTAAGTGAAAGTACCCATCATTACAATTAAGAAGGGAACATAGTCATTTTCAGAGGGAATAATTCCCCTTACATTCAACTCCACTCCATAAATTCTTAAATTTAAAAATATCTTTCAACCCTTTCTTGTTCCAACTCTTTCACCATCCGTAGTCCAGGTAAATTCATAGAATTTTAAAAAGTTAAACTTATAGTCCAACAACAGAACTGAAAACATTAGCACAACTCCTACTCAGTATTACTGTTAGGCTAGGTATTTACATATTTCTAGTAAACCAAATGCAAAGGGGATGCAATTAGCATCTGGTTTCTTCATCAGTAAAGTAAGATAATGATGACAAACGAAGAAAGCCCTTGTAAGCAGCCACTCCCACTAAAAGATTTCCGTAAAACTGAAACTAGTCCTCCACAAGAGACACTGCAAATAAACTAAATGATTAAAATGTACATACCAATAGACCTTGACATTGCAAGAACACCAAATACACGATGACCATTCCATTGAATCACTTTTCCTCCAGCTGCCTCAATTCTTGCATATTCATCATCTCGGTTTGGCTAACATATCACAACCACGAGATCACCTGTTAAAAATTTAAAATATTAAAGGAGATATATAACTATAAATGGAGTAACTTACTTTATGGTCCACTGATAGTGCCATGGGTTCTTTGCCACGACATAGAACCGCTCTTGAATCACCACAATTTGCAACTATGATATGAGATGAGCAAATAACAGCAACAACAGCGGTGGAGCCAACAGTTTCGGGGGCAACAGGTTCATTATTAACTTTCCCTCCAACTTCAGCATCAACCTTTAAGAAGCAATTGGTGAAAACTTTTTTCCACTGATCTTGACAACCATCCTTCATACTTCCACTGATTAGAGCTTCCTTAACAAATTCTATTTCCTCAGCCAAAGCCTTATGGATACGATCTTGACAATACTTTGCAACCTGAATGAGGAAGGTAAGATCCGTGTGAAGGGTATTACAGATAAAGCCAAAATCATTGGACACAAGGATCGTGACAATAAAGAGCAAAATTAAACTTTACCTGAGAGCCACCATGGCCATCATAGACTCCAAAGAAATGAGTCATCTGTTGACTAAAACACTTGTTTATTCCATCAAGCACCCGATCACCAATTAACATTTGAATAGGAATTTTTAAAAATCGAGGAACAGTTGCAAGTGCATCTTCCATCTCAGGTCTTCTTCCACACACAGATATGAATCCATAAAGTGGGGTATAATCCAATTCAAAAACACTCCGACCAACCATTCCACTCACCCCCTTTTCCTGAGGCAAATGATGAAGAACAACATCGGAAGGCTTAGGGCCAGATCTAATTGCATTCTCTCCGTCAAGGCTCACTGCCTCAGCAAGAGGTTCAGTCATATCTGTGTTAACATTTGATTCCTCCAAGTCAATCCCCTCAGCAACAATATTTACAGCACAAACGCTCTTATCTACGTCAGCAGAACAAGGTGTCCCAACATCTGATGTAGCATCTAAACAGAAGGACTCCTCTCCACACACACTACTGTTCTCACTGACTGCTGAAAGAGAACACGAGCTATCCACAATCTGGTCACCTTCCAACGACAACGAATCCTCCTCCTGAATTTCATCAGGTAATACTTCATCACTAGCAACCAAAGTGCTTCTTCTATTTTGGGATATCATATCTAACATGGGAGTCTTTTCTTCTCTATCCTGTTTTGGTGGGATAATAGCAATACCAGCTTCATCCCCCAAATTGCCATTATCATCACAATCATTGGAACCTGCAACCGTCTCAGTGAAAACCTTAGTTACAGAATTAGATAACAACCCTGTATCCGCCATCAACTTAAACCTGGATACATCCATGTCGGAAACTATGGTTGGAATATCACAGACTGAACTACAATTACCTACTCTTAATGGCACTGCAGCCACAAACGACATCTCCTCCATTGAAATCCCTATCTAGGTTGGACAAAAAGTTACCCTCCCACCTCTCTGCTATCACAAAACCTGTCATACTTCAACTAAATTTGCACCTGCTTTTGAGATTGAATACGATCTTAGAATGTGAAAGGGTGGCATTTTCCATTCCTAATTAGCCCTACAAGACAAAAGGGGAGCAATTCAGGCGATGCAAAGCATGAACTAGCTAAAAGGTGGTGAAAGTGAAATGAGGTACTCAGATCTGGTCAACATCAAAGCATCCCACTTCCATTTTTGGAAAATTTTAATCATAAATAGCTATGTCAATTGCCACAACACCCTTCTCAAGCATTACCTTTGTCAACTCTAATTAGAAAGAAACAGCCTGAATACATTAAAACAAAACCAAAACTCAAACTTTATCTGCACAACAACATATTGCACTAAACCCAACCAATTAAAAAGAAACAAATTTCAAAAACAAAGATACCCCTTATCTCTAAACACAAGAAAGAAGAAATTGGTCATGAGAAAGAAACCCAGAAAAGGTGAAGTCTCAAGAATCACAAGGAAACCCTAAAAAGATGACACCCTTTTCCACATACCACCATGAGTTGCCTGGATCTGAGGCAACGCAACGCATCACAGGCGCGCGCGCGCTCTAATAATAATAATAATAATAATAATAATAATAATAGCAATATTACATTAATTTAATAAAAATTATTACTAAAAATTTAATGAACAAAAGAAAGCATAAGAAGTGGAAAAAAAAAAAAAAAAAAGATAGAAGAATGAAGTGAGTCACTACCTAATTTTGTCAACGATGTAGGGTCTGGTTCCTTCTCTTCTCTCTCTCTCACACATACACACTTTTTCCAATCTTATTTCTTCTCCTCACTTTGACACCTGAAACCCATGGATCCAAAAAAAAAAACAAAGCATCATTGAACAACAAAAGCCAAGACATGGGTGTCTATTTATTTATTTATTCTTTTAACTCTGACCTATTAAAATATAACAGCTCGGCTATGAACCATTAATGTTTTGGGTGATATGAATTTGTGTTTTCCGTTTAACAAAATTGAAATTATGAATGCTAGACACGTGGTCTTCAAAAGTTTAGTATTCTTTAAAATGAAAAAATGCATAAGTTTATTTAATTTAAAATTGCATATTTTATCTTGGTAATTTATTTATTTATTTATTGTAATTCATTTTATCAAGTGGGTCAACTGTCAGACTAATCCACAGAGTAAGTAGGCCAACTCATACCCCTCAAAATATTTTTATTGCAAAACACAAGGTAAGATAATTTATAAGTAATAAAAAAATTTAGAAAAATTTATTATAATTTTTTAAAAGACGGATAAAATAGTTCTCAGCTCGAAACATTTTCCTCTTTTAAATATAAGTTTCTCTCCCCCATATCTTCTTCCTCACATTTATTCGTTGTCATTGTTATCAGTAAGATAAAGATGAGATTTTACCAAATGAAAAATTATAAGGTAAATTTTTTAGGTGTTTAAATTTTTTAATATAATAAGGAGTAATTTTTTTTAATAAAATTACATGTATTTAATATTATTTATTATATTATAAAATTTATCTTAATTGTTCTAAATACTTTTTTAAAAATAGTTTATTCAACTAGTTCAATTGGAAATTAGAAACCAGTTTATTATTTTCAAGTAATTTTAGTTAAATTGATACAAAATTAAAAAATAGGTTGATTTTTTAAATCACACATTTTTTATAAAAAATAAAAAATTTAAATTTTTTAAATATAATTTTTTTTATAATATAATAAATTTTTAATTTTTATTTATTTATTTTATATTATTCATATCAATTTTAAATAATAATTATTTATTATGTTTTCATTTTGTTTTAATTATTATTTATCTTCCATTTTATATTTATAATTTTTATCTTAATTTATATAATAATCATGATAATAATTTTTGTTATTTAAGAAAAAACTATTATTAATGATAAACCTATTATATATTTATTATATAATAAAAATATTATTTTATTAATTATAGTCAGATTTTGATTAGATTTTTGTTAGAATTTAGTTGAATTTTAGTTAAACCTTTAAACCCACATGTAGACCTTTAAAAACATTAGTTTGAAATTTTAATTTCTATATATTATTAACATTAGATGGATACGTTCTTGGATTGTTCGCATATAAATGGTAGTCTTGTTATTAAGATAATTAAAAAAAGTCATTATAAGATTTAATAGATTAAAAGGTATTTTGTATGAAAATAAATAATTAAGTGTAATTTAATATTAAAATTTATAATTTGTTATTAAGATTATCTTTACAGTATGTTTGTATGCGTTTGTAAAGGAATAGAAGGAGATAGAAATGAAATATATATATATATATATATATATATATATATATATATATATTTTGGTGGATTTATATGAGTTTGGTTAAAGTGATATGAATTGATTAAGAATAAAGTGGTGACTTTTCTCTATAGTGAAGGAAAAAGGTAAAATGCCTTTGGAGAGACAATTATATTATCCTCTATAAAAAATCATCCTCAACTTCAATTTTCATTACACACAAAGTGAAGAACCAAGTTTTTATTAATGTTAAAAAATATATCCCTTAAAAATACTTTGAAAAAACAATTGGATATTATTAAAAGGATAAAATTACAATGGATATGTTCAAGATATAATAAACAATATTCTGTTCAGAATTTGCAATAGAATATTGAGATATGTTCAGAATAATAAACATCTAAATATTTTTTTAAGATAATAAAACAAAATGAAATAGTTTTATCAATGAAAAAATAAAATCTGCTCAAACTAAATAAGATTTGTAGACCATAAAGCAAAATCAAAGAACCATAATTTCAATAACTAGGAGTGTAAAAGTTTTCTCATGAAATAAAATAAATAAATTAATATTCGAATTATTTGTAAACCCTTATTTAATAGACTAAAAGAAAAAAACTTAAACCATTGAATCCAGACTTATCTAAAATAAAAAGTCTTCTTGTTCTTATCTAGGATTAGGTGGAATCTTAAAAAACAAAATATAAAATTCTAAAGAGCAAATAGTTAGGTATTAAAGTGGCATGAGTGAAACCAATCTAAATAAGTTTTTATCAAATAATAAAATTAAACTTTATTATGCTACAAATTTTTATTTTGGTGGAGACTATAAATTTTACATGAACAATGTACTAGGTCTGAAATTTTGTATAAACCCGTATCCACCCAAATTCTTGGGCCCAGTTGGATAAGTGTGTGGCCCAATTTGAGGATCAAACCCAGAAAGCCTTAGGTCATCAGGCCTGTGGACTGTTAAAGCCACTAGCTTCAAACTGGTCCAACCAAAGTTTTTAATTTTTGTTTTCTTTTTTGAATAATTCTTGTAATAACAAATTATTTATAAATATATATTTAAAACTTTAAAGTGATTTTACAAATTACAAAAATATGGATAACATCAACTTTGTTTCTTTTGAAACATTAATCTATTATTTTTTTTAAGACGTATTGAATTAAAAGATGATGTATATAAATTATTTTTAAGTTAAAATTAAAAATTATATAAGATATACAACTCTACCAGATATTTATAAGATATAAATGACGTTTAGACAAAAATATTTAGATTAAAATTAATACAAAGAATTTGTTTTATTTACTGGTTCAAACATGTAACGTAAAAGAAAACGTATGATTTGATTGAATTAATAATGTAGTTTGGACATAACTTTTTTTGAAATACACACAAGAAGTCATTTGTTTCATCTTCGAGAAGTAGTCTTTGTGTTATGACTTTTTCTTAAACATACAAATGAAAAAAGATATGTTCAAAGGAACATCACTGAAAATCTTATCAAACAAGCAAGGTATCTTTCTAAACATTATTAACGGTTCATCATTTACATTTTAACTCAAAAAACTTGTTATGTTTTTGGGTTTCCTTATTGTTTTAATGGCGAATTAGGTTTTTTTTAATACAATACTTCAACTGGATTTTCTGATATTAAAAAATTACTTGAGAAATTTTAAATTTTTTTACAAATTAGCTTTTGGTCATATGATTTAACAAATGTGTAGTTTTAGTTTTAATAAACTTTTAATTGTCAATAAGAACAATTCATATATTATTCTAATTATTATACATATTATTAACAATTAAATGATATATTAACAGTGAATTAAAATTGTTCAATTTTAAAAAATGTGGGAAATCAATTTTGTAATCAAAATTTAATGAAGACTAAAATCAAACATACACAAACCTATATATACTGAAATGAATTTAAATATTTATTCATATTTTTATTTTCGAAAATATTAATGAGCAGTTCCGAGATCAACGGCGTCTTGGCCTCTTCCCCAAAGACCAACGTTTAATGCTTCAACATTATATTAAATATGGAAGACAAAAATATTATTTCTACAATTATTTATATATATATTTTAATAATTCTTACATGTTTAATGGGTTGAAAAAAAATCAAGGAAAAAAATGTGTCCCGAAATAAATAATATTTTTTAAGTTTTCAATATTTACTTCTTGGGACCGGATAAGAAATTTGAATAGATAAAATAATTTTTTAATGATCATTTAATGTTTTTCTATAAAAATAAAAAAATACCCCTTTTATTTTTCAAGCATATTTAATTTCGTAAATAAGATCTTTTCATAATATTAGAACTTTTTTACTTAGTTTTATTTTTAAAATTATAAAATAATTTTAGTAATTATTTTGAAAAAAAATGATAATTTTAGTTTAAAAATTACTTTTAAAAATTTGTTAATTTTATTCATGAAAATAAAATTGAAATTAATTTTTTATTATATTTTCAATTTTTAAAAACAGTAAACAAATGTTTAATATGATAAAGGATTTTACAAAAATTAAAAATAAAATAATTATAATATTTTA